CTATAATATCCGTCTATCATAGAGTGAAACACAGAGCTTGTATTTAGTTTGCCGATGGTAATTTTGAACGTAAAAACTATAATAATAATCATTATTTATGGAATATTCTTGAGTTTTATTATTATTGTAGTTATTCTGTGATGAGAAGAGCAAAAGAATACCAACTTTTAATCTATCAATGATTGAAAAAACACAAAATAAATGATACTTACATTATATGTCGTGACAAATATTAATTTGGATTCTCAAACATAATGTTAATCTCAGTCCTGAAGTGCATAACAATATAGTGTACTGAATGTGCGCTCAAATGCCTTCCTATTTATTTATCTAATGCCTCTCTTCTTTGCCATCAGTTTTCTATGTATTTCTCTTCGAGTGACTCTTTCTGCTGTCAATTCATTGCATTTTATGTAAAAAACAAGTTTTATGCAAAAACATTGAATACAATAATTTCCTCAATCGATAACTCATTTCAATAATTAGATTAAAAAAGGCAGAGAAGAAATCGATGTGTTTTATGTTGTTTTTGTTATTTTCATTTGACTATTAGTTAAGTAACGTATTTATAAATTATAAACAGGGTATTAATGAACCGATGATTTATATATTTTTTAGTAATGAAATAGATTTCTGTCGAAATACAAAATGAAATAAAAAACAAAACTAATATTAAACGAAAAATTTTCGTATTTATCTTCAAATAAAAACACATTCATTCAAATGATTTGTTTCGTTTTAATTCATCAATTCATTCATTCATTTATTATTACTACACTATAATTGCTGTTATTAATGAAAAGTTTTATTACTTTTTATTTTGTGAAAAATTGATGCTTTCTTATCGATTTGTTTCAGTATTTTGTTTTGTGAAGCAATCCTTTAGGAACTTAACTATTCGTCAAAAATAAATTAATTGCTTTAAAACGAGTGATACGTTTAACAAAATAATATCTCTTCGCCATATTTTTGAGACACATATAAAAAATTGTTTCGTAAAATTTTTATGAAACAATTTTTCTCAATAATATAATTATTATTAATAGTGAACACAAACTGCGAAACTAATACACAGATTAATATATGGTATACATTTGCGATGAAAGCAATGTATCGGTTTCTGGCAATGGGTGTCCGTCTCCTTATTTGCTAATTACAATTATTACATAAATTAGTAATATTTATAATATTTTACACTTTATTGCTATAATTTTTACTAAAATAATAAATTTGTGTATTTTTTAAAACAACAGTAATATGCACTCAAATGGTGTGAATTTAACGCTATTGTGTGTATTTAGTGACTAAATTTTAGTCCTAAGTTATCCTAACAAATCTTAACCAAAAACAAAACAAAATATTTTTTATTTCACTTCCGATAACAATAAATGTATTGTAAATTATACACATTTATACGCGTTCTTAGCATCAGTTATGTTATATTTTATTATTTTTATTCATTTGCGTCTAAAACTGTTGTTTATAGTGAAAAATTGTTGCTTTACTTATAACCCAAAACACAGGTTTACTTATAGTTGGATGCGATGCCTGTCGTAGTGGTGGACAACACCCATCCGTTCAAACGTTTTGCTCATTTTTCTCAATCAAAGCTCATCGCAGAGAAAAAATATCACAAATTATTGCTTTTCTTAGCGAGAAATATAATATCAAAAGATATGGAAAAACTCGTGAATTCAACGATTTATTAATATTATTGACTGTTTTTGGTGAACATATCATCGATAATGACTGAAAACGTACGCAACAGGTCCTACACCTGACGCCCACCTCCTCCCGACTCTCTCTCTCTCTCTCTCTCTCTCTCAATATTTTATACCCTATTGTAAAGCAAAACAAAAACATATGAATATATATGGGTTTTAATTACAGGGCTATTACTTTCACCGAAACATTTAAGATCTTTACTGTGTTTTAAAGCGTTTAATACCTTTGCATTGAAATACATAACAAATAAATTGTTTGATTGTTTTTGTGTATTTGATAGTAAGTAATACATAATCTTATGGCAAATCTATTGCAAAATAAATAACTTACTTGAAAACTATATACACTACTCATGAAAAGTTTAAAACATTTTGAAACCAATAACTCAAACGATACATTAAATGTTGTAGTATTTTATCCGTGGATTTAATCAATCAATCAATTCATGACCGCATTCTTTATATTATTGATCGTAAATCTTAACAAAAAAATATTTTATCTTATATAAGAAAAACATATTTTGAATGGATTTTTATTTTGAAATCATTCTCTCTCTCTCTCTCTCTCTCTCTCTCTCTCATGATTAAAATTGAAGTAAAAATTTTATTATAAAATAACGTACTTTTAATTAAAAGAAATTGTTTTATTTGTATGTTTTTCTTGAATTTGAAATCTATTTTAACCAAAATATAATCTGTTTAAAGAAAGAATCGTTTTTTCAATTTGAAACTTAAATACTTTTGCATTAATTTTGTGCAAAAAAGTGTTCACTCGGACTGAGAAGACTAATAACTAAGAAAAACATTTAGATATTATAAATCAAGTTCTGAAAAATCTCATCAATTAGTTGTTGATTAGGTTTAGAGGTATAGGCAGTGGACGGCAACGCGTGACTATACTCTTATGTCTTACACAATATTGTTTATTATTAGCTAAATAATGAGTGCAAATCAAACCATTAGTTTTTTACCTTATTTATATATCGTATTGAATAATATGTTTGCAGAATTATATATATATACTGTGCTTCTCGTGTATATTCTTTACATTCTCTGCAAATTAAACACTTTTTGGTAAATTTGTTTTAGGAGTTTGAAGTGATTTCTTGTTGTTTTTATCGTCGATATAAATGAATGCCAATTGACGTGAAAGAAAAGAGAAGCAAATTATTTGTTATGAGAGATCACACCAAAGAAGAAGCATAACTGCGGGTGGGCTCAGGTATATAGGGATGGTTAGGACGTGTGTGTGTTGTGTGTCTGAGTTGGGCATCAATTTATGCCCTCCGCTCTCCCAAAACCATCTCAAAACTTTGATATGTGTTATTCCACACAATATAATACCAGGTCTTTACTTAACAGTGAAATATATTAATTGTAATTCACACGCCTTTTGTAATATTTTATACCCCAAATGCTTACTTCTATCGCTCAAAACACTAAGGCCTCAAACATTCAATTTGTAAACATTTTTAGTGCCCAACAAAATGTGTAAAAAGCAGATGAGAGTCACTCATTAAAGTTAATTAAATACAATTAATCTAAGTTAGAAAACTCTCTCTCTCTCTCTCTCTTACTCCCTCACTCACTCAATGAATATGCAATTCATTTATGTATACAAAAATTTACATAACTTTCAATCAAAGAATATTTCCTCAATATATATGCATTACCTTTGTTTTCGTATGAATAATACTATTCATACTGTTATTAGTTTTTTGTTTCTTCTTTCCTCCGATATATTAGGCAAACATTTTACGGATTTTTATCATTAAAGGCATTACTCGTGAAATTAATGTTTTTCGATCACTTCATAAACGTATCGCATATTAAATCAAAAACCATATAAAATATTTAACCCGTTATTAATGCTTTTACCGATGGGTAGTATCGATGGGTTGTCTCTTATGAATGAATATTTTAATGAAATGTCTTTACTATCGTTTTGAATATTATTATTAAGATTACAACTTCTCTAATATTATATCTAATAATTTTAATCGAAATAAAACAGGAAATAAATCTCTGACTGAAATGTCTGTTAAAACACTTAAATCTTTGTTTCCATTATTTTTTCACTTCTCTAATACTATTTAATCAATCATTTATTTAATCAAATGAAACTTAAAAGTTTATTTTGAAAAAAAAGTAAAAATTAATTACAAGAGAGAGAGAGAGAGAGAGAGAGAGAGAGAGAGAGAGAATGTTGAAGTGATGTGAAAGATAAATGGCTGCGAAATATTCAAAATTCAATTCATATATGCATTTAATATAATTTAAATAATTTATATTCATATCAATCAAACTCACAGACTATTGAGTTAAATGCGAGAGAGAAAGGGTGTCATTATTCATAAAATATAATAAATTAATTATAATTTTTGCACAGATTTTCCCCGCATTTCACAAACAATAAAACATTTAAAGATTTATTAAAATTGAAAAAATTCCGTTAAAATCCGTGAAATTAAAATGAAATATAAAAAAGAAAAATAGGGTTCAAATGAAAACTCGATTCCCATTGAAATTGCATTTCTCAGCATTTGTTTGTCAAAATATTTACTGATATGCGCGACAATACACACACATTATATGTTTGATATACTGAATGGTTATAAACTTAATAATCTAGTTAAGCGTTTGAAACCATAGTTTTTATTTACTTAAATAAATTACAAAAAAACTGATTAAAACATGGCTTTGCATTGAAAAATACACTCTTTGTATGAAAATACACATTACTATTGCTTTTCAGTACCTTTTATTAAACACATAATGGCATTGATTTTATGCGATTATATATCTGGAGTAAAATATTCAGTATATTTCCAATGAATAAACATAATTCTTGCTTTACTTCCTTTTTGTTATCTAATAGGAAATCCCATAATAGCTGCCAATTCATCGATATATTATTTATGCCAATAGTGCTCAATAAATATTGTCAATTCTGTAAATAATTATGCTAATTTTAAAATTATATGTTTTCTAAAATTAAATTTTTAATAATAGATATAAAAAGGGGGGAGAGAGAGAGAGAGAGAGAGAGAAATTGTGATACTTAAAAATATAATAATAATTTAACAAATATTTCAAAATATTTAAAGCACACAATTATAAATTGTTTTATATTGACAAATCAAATATCCTAAACACCATGCTAAATTCCCACTATTAGAAATAACCATAATAACTCAATGAGTTTCCATGAAATTGCTTAATACATTTTGGTAAAATTTTTAATAAGACAAGAAAATATTTGCATTTAACAGATTATGGTTAACCCCTCGATTACATCAGCGAAGTTCCCCTCAAAAGATTGGTTGCATTAATGTTGTGCCGAGACTTAAGATTACAAACAATAATCAAAATCAAACAACAAATGGTGAGATGTATAGTGAAGTTAATACCGGGGATACGGAGGACACCGGCACTCAATACCCAGTCTCCACCACCACTCCGACCAACACAAGTGGCACTCAATCGTCATTCCTATCTTCAAAACCAATATATGAAACACTGGACGAGATGTTGGTTCGAGTCAATGATTTATTCGACAAAAAGCCCATCAATGGTCTGTTCAGACAATATATTTACTTAACTTTATTTTATATATACTTTTATATTGTATGAGAGTTTTAAACAACCAGAAAGTCTTAAAATATATGACTTTATATTTATAGTGCGTTCTCTCTCTCTCTCTCTCTCTCTCTCTCTCTCAATCACTCTTAACGAAAGAAAAATATTTTTCAAATTCATTTTTCATATTGCAAGACATATCTTAAATATTCAATTCAATAGAGATATACAGTATATATCTATTTTCATGACAATATATAGCGGAATATGTGTGCAGAATATTCTTGTGTTTTGATGCTTGTTCTCCAAGTAGTCAAACAAATAAATCTTATAAATTAATTTCAATATAAAACTATAAATCATATATAAAATGCATTTTGCGGATAGAAATGAGGACAAAAACTAACACGATAAGAATTCATCGCCAAATGTCAATAAAAATGTCATATTTTTAATAGACTTTCTTTTCGCATAGGATTTTGTAAAAAGCGGAATATTTTTGATTAAAATTTTATTTATTTTATTTTCTTTCTATCACTAAATCCTATTATGAAAGCAAAAAATATTTCGTGTAATAAATATTCACAACAAAATCAGGAAATTTTTTGACGACAGAAAAAATAATAATAAAATCAAAATATGTTTTTATTAAGTTTAAGGTAAAGATTATATATCAGAAAGTGAATAAAAAATGTCAAATGTCTGCCCGTCTGTCACTTATATATTCATTTATTTTGATAATAAATTAAATTTAAAACTATTTGATTATAATCATAAAAGTTTCACCACGTTTTTCTACAGGCCGTGTACTATCTGTCGAGACGGTGCCCATACCGGTCGAGTGTAACAACTTTTCGGTGGACACCGAGCAGTCCTACTGGTCGGACGAGTGCCAGAAAAATAACAACTCGGTGTTTATTTTGCGCATATATTTTGAATACGGAAACACCGCTCGGGAACGGCTGGAGATCATTGATTTCATACCCCGGGTCCAGATATGGGACGCACCGCTCGCTGTGCCCATCTATGAGTCCTTTTCCAGGTGTGTATCAATCCGTTTGAATGACTTGTTTTGTGGATTTCGTTTTTTATAATATGTCTTGCGTTGAAAACATTATACCGTATTATCCCATAGACAACGCGCGCGTTATCTAATGAAAAAAGTGCATTTCTTGCCAAAATTAGTGGTGCGCGTTATCTACGGGGTGCGCGTTATATGTGGTTTAAAAATAAATCAAACAAAAAAGTATTTTAAAATTATTTTAACAGTATTCTAAAAAGTGTTTTTAAAATATTCTAGTTTATTAATAAATATAATTATAATAAGTATAAAAATCAACCAAATCAGTCAAAATCAAAACCTGATTCTGAACACATCCCTAATATCTAGATAACATGTTTTCTGTATAGCGTTGCCAAACATACAGAAACTTCCTGTATTATACAGGAATTTTCACAGAATACAGAAAGAAATTTTCATGTACATTGAAGAATACAGGAATAAACATTCTGAAAATAAGCTGAAATACAGAAAAATACAGGAATTTTTGGCAATTTTTTAAAATTTATACAGAATTTAAAAAATATTATTTGGCAACGCTACTTCTGTATCTACATTTGTTGTTTTTAATTGTTTAAAATTTATTTAATTACAACAATTAATCTGTTAATTTGTTTTGAATCAATATATTTTGTTTTGAATTGTATTCTAAAAATACGCGTAACATTAATAAGTTTAAACATATAGTAGAGGATATGCGCGTTATACATGGGGTGCGCGTTATCTACGATTGATTTATTATTCAAAAATATTGTTAAATTTCTTACTGCGCGTTATACACGGGGTGCGCGTTGTCTATGGGATAATACGGTAATAGATATTGAATGAGACACTGAAATAACTGTTTAATCGCTTTTTATATACAAAATAACTGTAAGAGATTAGTAGGAAAATAAGTTGAAATTATAATTTTTCAACCATCATAACATATTTCATAAAATATATGGCTTTATATAACTATTAATTCCCAGAATTTACATGACGTTAACAAAACAGTACACTATTCGTGAGTACACTATATATACAGTACATATACACTATAAACATGTATAATAAACTATTCACGCAATTCACACAAACCATTACACCGTTTGAATACAATATCGTGTGTATAATAATAAATATGTATATATTTTTTAATGCATACATGTATTTGTAAAACACGTATAAATATTTTGTTTGATATTGTGTTGATTGACGTATAAAATAAAAATATATTTTATGTATATTCACAGCATTCATGAGAAATACATGTGTGGTTACAGTGGAAACATTGTTTTGTCACTAAAACAGTTTCACCATGATATCAATGGTTAGGGGGCACCGGTAGGGGACCTCCAGTTATACACTACAACACCTCCTCCTTTGATATATTACAATGTGTTTAGAGATTATACTTTTGTTTATTAAAATGTATGCAAAAACACAAACTTTTTTGTTGAGTTTGTTTGCTATTTAGCATAAAATACATGAGACATGGATTAGATTTATTGTTGTGTTATATAATATACTGGGGTATCGTTTGTACTCCTGAACCTCCATTCTCTCTCTCTCTCTCTCTCTCTCTCTCTCTCTCTCATACCTGGCCTAAAGGGACTGGTAGTTGAATATACGGCTAATTTTTGTGTCGGTAGACATAAATTTGTGATAAACTCAATGTTTTTTGCGCTGAAACTCAATGAGGAAGAGATTTTTTACTTGACTTTTTTTATTCGCTCAATAATATATATGGTATTTATTTTGTTTTTAACATGAACGCTTTATTTTGTTGGTCAAAATGTTTTTATTCCGGGGCTATAATTATAAGCCATACAACAAATGTGTACAACAAATATACCGTTCACTATATGTTACATATATTGTACAATTAAGTATAAGTTATATGTATTTTCTCGATTGGATTTATAGTCGGTATGCGATGAACGCAATCCTATGATTGGATGGGGGGTAGAGGTGGTGGTGGGCAGGGGGTTATGTATGGGTCCAGTAGTGTTATGTTAATCATACATACTGTGCATTAAATTGACAATTATTTTGTTTTTTGAAAGCAAAACTCAAACATTTTATATGGAGTTAAATGTGTTGTCAATGAAAATGAATGCAAACCATAATTTGCTGTCTCTTTTCATTAATAACACGCGATATATATTATGTATAGTTTTGCTGCTATTTGTATGAGTGGGGGAATTGGGAGGGGAGGGGAGGGCTGTGTAAACTGGCAAAAGTATAGTTTGTTTAGTTAGCTGTATTTTTTTCAGCTAGTTAATTGCACTTTTATTAACTCCCTTTTTGTATATATAATTAGATTTGTTTATAAAAATATTTACTTATTTTACTGTTTAGAGTAGTAGTGAATGTTAATAAATTGATGAGAGAGAGAGAGAGAGAGAGAGAGAGAGAATAACAGTTAACTCAACTAGGATATAAATAGTAATTTACCATTAGAAAGTGCCCTCGTCCCTATTTAAATATTCTTTATATAAATTTAATGACAATTTTAAGTATACATTATATATACTGTCTCTTTATTGTAGTCCTTAATAACGTACACATAATAGCGAAAGGATTGTTAAAATATATTTTTTTAAAAGTATTATATATTTGGGCAATACTTTTGTTATGCAATTTCCTTTACATTTTTTCGTCGCAAACTATAACAACAGTTATGTATTTCATAACGAGAAACATATCTGTCTTTTCTCTCTCTCTCCTTTCTTATTGTTATTCATGTCTTTGTATTATGTTTTGCATCAAAACAAGATTTTTTTTGTAATGTCTATTCGTATGTATTGTAAACGTCTCTAACATTTGCATTGAAATAACAAACAATATCTCTGTCTTTGAAAAGTTAATTGTGTTTATTATTATTATTTACGGATTTTTACTTAAAGCTCTCATTACTTGTTGAATGAAGTCTTGAGTATTCATTTCCTTACGACATACTTATTAACACTTTCTCTCAGTCTCTCTCTCTCTCTCTCTCTCTCTCTCTCTCTCTCGCACAGTACTGTATAATACTTATACTTTTACTACACAATATGTCCTGTTAAGTGGTGGTAAAAAAACTCACTATTTGTCTGGTTTGTTAGGTTATCAAGTGAGCAAGGTAACAAACAACTGTCCATCATGCTATATTTTCCTGTGTTTAAGTGCTATGCTATGTCTTTTGGTTTTTAGCTTTTTGTTTTCACTAATCACTAAAAGCCTGAATAAGTGCCGGTTATGTAATGATAAGGGGTTTTGTATGTTTGACTTTCAGTCTCTCTCTCTCGACCAACAAAACCAAAAAAGTCAAATCATTTGCCGTAAGACTTACTGTAAACTGCATTTCCCGATGTGTTTACACGGGGTATACATATGAACAACCGTTAAATAGTTTTCAAATATTCACAACAACTTTCCCTATCCGTACATATAATTGCTTATAATGAATGTCTGGTTATAGTAAAGCTGATTATGCAAACTTACGCATACAATACCTGTATATGTTATCAAATAGTTTATGACTTGTGTTAGTTAATGCTCCGTACAATTGCCATACAAATACATTATATGGCAATAATTATATATTGTTCATTACTATAATACACTAAATAGTTATTCGCAAAAATAACAAAAAACAGATATAATACCTGTGCAACAGATTATAAAATACCTGAGCTCTCTCTCTCTCTCTCTCTCTCTCTCTCTCTCTCTGCCATTCCCTTAAAAATAATACAATTAAATGTATGTATTATTCGTCTGGCAATCATTGTCTCAATGAAAATCTCAGGACCCGAAGGGAAGGGTAGGGAATGGTGTGTAATATATGAAGTGAAATGAATGGTTAGTTTTGTTTTATTAAATAATTTCTTTATGTTTTGTGTGAATATATCAATATTTAATTTCAGACATACTTTCTCTCTATGTTTTTACACTTGATTTTGTGTTTCGAGATTATAATTATGTAGTTTTAATACCATGTTATAGAGTGTAGTGAAAGTGTGTGTGAGTTTGTATGTGTAAATGTGTGAAAGCACCTGGCATAATTCAGGGGAGAGTATGAGGTACACACATACACATACACTGTACAATAATGGGCCGTTAATTTTCATTTAATATAATTATATACCACTATTTTAATGGTTTTTGATAGCATTATACATACGGTTAATAGTGTATTGAAGTATGAGATTTTGTTATCAAGTTTTTTATTATTATAAAACAATTTTTAATGTATTATTTATTATGAATGCAAAACATGGCAAACGCGCTAAAAAGGTGTGAAAAAGACTGCTTATATAAAATGGTAATTTTATTTTGGGCTATAAACCTAACCTGTGCCGCAACAACAACCCTGTACTTTTTTTGGACAGATACATATCGGAGCCCTTATTAATAGGGGGTTTGACTTTCAATGAGCGATGGAGAGAGAGAGAGAGAGAGAGAGATGGCGAGAGAGAAAGGTGTTTAATCATAAACGTGTTCATCGATTTAGTTACACTAATATTATGTAGCCTTTTTCACGATGATAATACAGTGAACACTCGTTATTATTCATATAGAAACGCCGCGCGCGGCAACGCTATACACGGGTATTAATAACCGATAATATACTGTATATAATAAAGTGAATATTAAAAATATATATACTGTATATGTATTTGTTGTACACAATACACACGCTGTAAGCCTTACAGTGCAGTCATTGAACATAGAAAACAAATGATAACACGAGAGAGAGAGAGAGAGAGAGAGAGAGAGAGAGAGAGAGAGGAGAAAAATAACAGATTAAAAGTTTTGGTGAAATTCATAGCCGATGGCCATATCTATTGACTGGAAAGGTATTGCATAGAGTACTGCAATAGTGGATACCATATACCGAAAAAAGTATCAGTATTTTTATTATTATTATTCACCTTCTAGTCCAGTGTCTACCTGTGCTCAGGTGTACGGCATGTATGGGCCCTTTAGCTAAACATTTCCCATTCACTGTATGTATTAACTAGTATTGTATTCCCAGTCCATACTCCCGATCCCCTCTTCACACAAAAGGTAACTCAACTTTTGCTGTGTTTGAGAGTAAAAAACAAAACAAAATAAACTTTTTGTGTTTTGTTTTCATTTATTTGTAACTTTTTTGGTGCTTATGTCTGGTGTCTGTGCGTATGTATTGAGCACTTGTGTGCATATATCGATCGCACCTTCAGTTTTAGCACTTCTTCTTCTTCGTGGACTGACTTTTGCTTTTGTTTTCTTTCATTGAATTACTTCTCTCTCTCTCTCTCTCTCTCTCTCTCTCTCTCTCTCTTTCTTGATATTGTATTGCATTTTAATTTAATCATTATTATTGAAGTTAATTTTTAAACATCAAATCTCTCTCTCTCTCTCTCTCTCTCTCTCTCTCTCTTTCTTTCTTTCTTTCTTTCTCTTCTAATGGTTTTTTGGTTTGAATACAAAATAAGAGTCAAATCATGTTTGACTGCAAAATATATTATTATTTTGTTCAAATAAATATGAGTTTAAATATAATGTAAAGTACACTAAATGCTTGTTCACTGTAAACATGTATAACAGTTGAAAAATCCTTACACTATTCGCACCATAACTTGTCCACAATTCCCGTACTGTAAGTCTATTGTAAATCCTATTTCAATACATTTTCTTTGTATAATTAATTTAATTAACTTTTCGGCACATTTTGAGCCCAAACCCAGTAAATATACGTTGAAATCTCAGCGCAAACCCTGCACTCAAACCCTAATTTCCTTCACCGTTAACATTATGGACGGATAGTGTATACAAACACAATGCAAAGTGTAGTAGCCTTTCGGCCGTACCTTTCTATCAGGGAGAGAGAGAGAGAGGGGGGGAATGGGATGTATGGCCACAGGTTTGAGTGAATGATAGATAGCCGTAACAAACCAACAAAAAAAACGGACTATACGTACGTCCACTTGCATTACGGTTCGGGGGGTCAGATGACTGACCCCTACCCCACACACGCCCCCCGATGTCACTCATACTTAGCTTATGGGGCAGTGAATAGCCGTACGGTTTGAGTGATAGAGAGGGCCAGAGGTTAGGCACAGGACAACACAGCCCTCTCCCTCTATATATCTCATACCCCATACTATAAGTTACTTATATTTAGATTTAAGTCTTAAGACCCAAAGATTTTTTTTTGTGTTGTGTATATGTCTTATGTCTGGTGTTTTGCATTTAAAAAAGTATAGAGAGAGGCGACAGTCGACCCCCTTTTTTTGTATACAAATATACAGACAATATAATACCCGACCCTTCACTCTGCCGTATATAATGAAGCTATAAATAGTGTACTTTTGTTGTCTC